TTTTTTTTTTTTGCTAAAGATAATTTTTAAATGGTTGCAGTAGTACATTGACAGTACGCTGCCAGAAATTCAAGCTGGATTCAGAAGAGAACTTATAATGAGGGAAATCATTGCTGATGTCAGATGGATTGTGGCTACAAGCAAACAGTACCCCCCAAAAAAAGTTTACCTGTGCTTTATTGACTTTGCAAAGGCATTCAACTGTGTGTATCATAACAAATTATGGATGGTATTGAAAAGAATGGGAATCCCAGAATACTTGTGCTCATGTGGAACTTGTACATAGACCTATAGGCTTAGAATCGAACAGTAAAATCAGGAAAGATGTACATAAGGATTCTATCCTTTCACTATACTTATTCAGTCTGTATGCTGTGCAAATAATCCGTGAAGCTGGACAATATGAAGAAGTACATGGAAGACTCATGAACAGCGTGTGATATGCAGGTGACACAACTTCGCTTTCTCAAAGTGAAGAGGATTTGAAGTATTAACTGATGAAGATCAAAAAGCTTTTAATATGAACTAAACCTCAAAATAAAACAAAAATCCTCACAACTGGACCAATAAGCAATATGATGGAAATTTTTGAAATTAGTAATTTCATTTTGCTTGGATTCAAAATTAGCGTCCTTGGAAGCAGCAGTCAGGAAATCATATGACATATCTTTCTGCAAAAGATCTCTTTAACTGTTAGAAAGCATAGAAATCACTTTGAGAACTAAGCTACCCTGAACCAAGTTATGGTATTTTCAGTCACCTCATATCAATAAGCATTTTAAGTTCTCTTTGCTTCCAGCAAGCGAGATTGTATCCTCTGTATATTGCAGGTTGTTAATGAGTCTTTCTCTAATCCTGATGCCAACCTCTTCATATAATCCAGCTTCTCTGTTTATTTGCTCAGCATACATATAGAGTAAGTATGGTGAAAGAATGCACCCCTACCGCATACCTTTTCTAATTTAAGCCATGCAGTATCCCCCCTTGTTCTGTTCGAACAACCGCTTTTTGGTCTGTGTATAGGTTCCTCATGAGCACGAACAAGTTCTGCAATACCCATTCTTTCCGATGTTACTCATAGCTGGTCATGATCCACACAGCTGACGACCCCTTGCATAGTCAATAAAGCACAAGTCATCGTCTTTTCTTTCATTCCCTAGTAGCCTCAGTTTGTTGTACTGTGGTGGCTTGCGTGTTGCTTTGATTCTGGAAGCTTATGCCGTAGGTATTTTAAGTACCAGCGGGGTCACCTATGGTGGACAGGTTTCAGACGAGCTTCTAGACTTAAGACAGACTAGGAAGAAGGAGAGATGAGTTACTTCCGAGTATTTAGTCACTGAAAACCTTATGAATAGCAGTGAAACTCTGTCAGGTAGCACCAAAATATTGAATATTGAAGCATGATGAGGAGCACCAAAATATTGTCATATGTAGTGCCAGAAGATGAGTCCCTCAGGTAGGAAGGCACTCAAAATACAACTGGGGAAGAGCTGCCTCTTCAAAGTAGAGTTGACCATGAATAGGTGAATGGAGTAAAGCCTTTGTGACCTTCATTTGCTGATGGGTCATAACTCAAAATGAAGAGAAACAGTTTTGGACATTCATTGATAATCAGAACATGGAATGTATGAAGTATGAATCTAGAAAATTGGAAATTGTCAAAAATGAAAGGAACATATAAACATAGATATCCTAGGTATTAATGAGATAAAATAAACTGGTATTGGGCATTTTGAATGGCTTACAATGTTGGGAATGATAAATTGAAGAGAATGGCTTCGTATTCATCATCAAAAAGAACGTATCAAGATCTGTCCTGAAGTAAAACGCTGTCTGTGATAGGATGATATCCATAAGTCTATAAGGAAGACCAGTTAGTACTGGTCTTCCTTTATTATTCAAATTTATGCAAACCACTAAAGCCAATGATGATGAAATTGAAGAGTTCTACCAACTTCAGTCTGAAATTGATCAAATGTGCAATCAAGATGTATTGATAATTGCTGGCAATAGGAATGCAAAGGTTGGAAACAGAAATGATCAGTAGTTGGAAAATATAGCCTTGGTGATAGAATTGATGCTGGAGATCACATGATAGAATTCTACAAGACGAAAGACTTCTTCATTGCAAATACCTTTTATAAACAACATAAAAGACGACTAGACACATGGACTTCACCAGATGGAATACACAGAAATCAAATAGACTACATCTGTGAAAAGATATGGTACAAAAAGTGTGTATCATCATCCAAAACAAGGCCAAGGGCATGTTGTGAAATAGACCATCAATTGCTCATATGAAAGTTCAGACTGAAACTGAAGAAAATTAAAACAAGTACACAGGAGCCAAACTACAACTTAGAACATATCCCACCTGAATTTAGATATCATCTGAAGAACAGATTTGATACATTAGACACTAAAGACTGCAGACAAGAAAAGTTGTGGGATGACATCAAGAACATCATATAGGAAGATGCAAAAGTTCCTTAAGAAGACAAGCAAGAAGGAAAAGACCAAAATGGATGTCAGAAGAGACTCTGAAACTTGCTTTCTATCATGGCGATGCTAAAGCAAATGGAAGAAATGAGGAGGTAAAAGAGCTGAATAGAAAATTTCAAAAGGCAGTTCGAGAAGAAAAGGTCAATTAAAACCAAAAGGGAAGAATATGCTTGGCATTTGTCAAGCTGAGGTAACTGAAAACAAAAATAAAAAATTCAAGCTTCGACTTGACATATTGAAAGATTCTATGAATAAATATTGAATGATGCAGAAAGCATCAAAAGAAGATGGAAGGAATACAGAGAGTCACTGGACCAAAAAGAAATGGTGAATGTTCAACCATTTCAAGAGGTAACATAAGATCAAGAGCCAGTGGTACTGAAGGAAGAAGTCCAAGATGTGTTGAAGGCATTGGCATAGAACAAAGCACTAGGAATTGATGGAATACAAATTGAAATCTTTCAACAAAGTGATGGGGTACTGGAGGCACTCATTCATCTGTGCCAAAAAATTTGGAAGACAAGTACTTGGCCAACTGATTGGAAGAGATCCATGTATGAGTCCATTCCAAAAAGAGGTGACCCAACAGAATGCGGAAACCGTTGGACAAAATATCATTATATCGCGTGCAAGTAAAATTTACGTGAGATAATTGAAAAACAGATGCAACCATGTATTGGCAGAGAACTTCCAGAGGTTCAAGCCAGATTCAGAAGAGGCTGTGAAATGAAGGGATATTGTTTCTGACGTCAGATGGATCTTGGCTGAAAGCAGAGAACACTGGAAAGATATTTACC